AACTATTATTACTATCATAGTATAGTTTTACTCACATATGAAGGCAAAATTCCTTGAACTGGGGGAACAAATGCTGCTGTATTATTGTTAGATCTTTTGCCAACAGCAACTTTGTCAGCCTCATTGTTACAAGTGCAATTAGTCTACACAGAATCATCATTAGTCTTATATCATTAATTCAGTACAAACCTTATATAATTTGAATCCAATAGCAATGAGTGCTGCCAGCACTGCAATCAAGAGAACAGAAAGTACCATTAGCCAGATGAACATGCATTTGTTTTGAAACTTGGAAGTTTCAGATGACTTAGTTGCACGAGATGTGATCATAATACTTTCTCTATAAACCTGAATTTAAGATAATTTTTTCATGGGAATTGTTTATATAAAGGTATTAAAGTTGCTGCAAGTTTATATGCACTCTGCTATTCAGCCTATTGTGCTATAAATGACCCTTTGATAGATGACTAAGGAATGAGACCAGAAATATAGTTTTAGTCTCGGATACAACAGTCCAAATCAGAGTAATAAAGTGCCCATTCTAAAATGATTATTATAAAGAAATGGGACATTATCTACAATTTAGGGTGTAATGACTGAAATACCCTACAGTGTACTAGTTCCCATTCAACTAACTCTTATGAAGAGGCTTGCCTTTTTACCAGACCAGGTTGTTCAAAAAATAAAATTTGAATTATTATTTCTATAGAATCTATAGATCTAATATAAATGATAATTCAAATTAACCATGGCCAACTTGCAAAATTGAACAAAGCAATGTAGACTAAATACAAATCAGAACATTTTGTGGTACATGTAACATAGACTTACTTTATTATATCAGAAAAATCACTGTCTGCTAAATTTGCTTCGAGTTCGACAGTAAGTTAGTTTTAAAGTCTCTTATGAACCTTAGGTTGCTTGCAGCTATGGCCAGAGAGCTATGGCTATTTATAGAAAAATCAGCCACACCTTTGAGCTAGAGCGTGGGCGTATGACTTCCTGTTTGCAGTCATTTTACACCTTGAGGTGCTAACCAAGTGTCAAAAAATTTGTTTCTTGCTTTGTTACAGGTGCTAAATGCAAAATAAAATTATTTATTCACAATAAGTGTGCCTCCAGTTCAATGATAGTCGTAATAGTCATCATAATCATCATAATAGTCTTCATAGTCACTATTATATTCATCAGATCCATACTCATCCTCCTCCTCATAATCACGAGTAGTCCTGTCATAATAGTCTCCAGAATGAGGAAAATAATGGACAGTAGTTGAAGCTAGAGAATGAGTTGGTCCTAGCACAGAAGGCTCATCGGGGCTCATCCATATTAAATTACAGCTATTTTATTCAATTAATTTATCTAGTAAGCTCTGTATGGTCTTATTGCCTCTGTATCTAGCATTAACAACAATGCAATCAATGTTCTCTGAGAGAGACAGGCCCATGAACTTGCACCTATATTTAGTAATAAAGACAAAACAGTAATATAATGGTAATGTTTTAGTGTCACCCACATACTTCCTCATAGTGTGTTATAATTGTTGATTGAAGGTGAAGCTTACGATGAGTGGCTACATCAAGAATCTGTTGTAAAGGCCTAAAGGGAAGAGAAGTAGGTGATTATTTGCTTTATAATAATACTATTATACCATCAATATTCATCAAACAAAAAATGTAATACATAGTCTTGCCAGGCCAGCCTGAATACATAAAAAATTACAATATTTATACAAAGAAAATTTGTCAGAATCACTTCTACATAGTATCATGAGTTCATAATGGACTCCAGATAGTTTCAGTATATCAATTATGTATCAGAAACTGTAATAAAAATTGCGGATGATCTTTGAGCTAACTTTTGGGAAAAGCATGTGCTATAGCCTTTGTTATTTTTTAAATTGGCTCATTCTTAAATCTTCATTCTCAATTTGTCAGAAACACTTCGAACATAGCACAAGTACAGCAATTTGTATGAAAAATGTAATAAAAATTGAGAGTGATTTTAGACCCAATTTTTGGGGCTATAGCCTTTGTTATTTTTAGAAAATTTTCTGATTTTTTTAAGTGGCCATAATTTGTAAAATATTTGTCACAAATACCTCAAACTTTGTACATAGCTTAAGTACATCAATATGTATCAGAAACTGTAATAAAAATTGGGGTAATTTCAGAGCCTTTTTTTGTAATAATAATTTCATGCTTTCCTTCCTAACATTTTCTACTCAAGTAATTCACTCAAGAATGAATAGAGACTTTAAAAACCTTGGTCCCCCATGACTATTGCTACAATACAACAGTAACGGTACTGTAATACTTATACTGCCACACACACACACACACACACACACACACACAGAGTATTACATACCCTTGCTCTAATTAATCTAATCTAGTCTAATCTAACTGGATCTAATATTCAATAGAGAAAACAATAGAATGGGATTTACTTCACATCACATCAACTCATTGATTCCAAACATCACAGTTTAGTTGTTGATAAAAAATTGAATTTCTGGTAATTCTGTAGATCTATGCATCACAGCTTTATTTATGCATCATTTTTTAGCAATCGTCAAAAATGGTAATTATAATGATTCATCCCTTAATATTGACTGTTACAATAATAAAGTAAAAGATTCTCACTAAGCTCATTAAAGACTATCATTAATTATAATTAGTGGTCAAACTCTTTTATTAGTGCACAAACACAATTATAAATATCATTAAAGATTCCACCCACTATGAATATTATATTTCCTGTGAAAAGTTGATACACCAGCTTTATTCATAATTCCCTCATTGCCTAAGGCATCACCATTGACTATACACATAGTTAATATTGATCAATATACCGTATAGCGGAAAATTTTTGTGGCCCAAAATTTTCGTGGATTTCGTGTTTTTTCAAAACCCACGAAAATAAAATCCGCGAAAATCGATTTTATACGGTTTAAGATGGCCGAATTGTAGAAAACCACGAAAATTAAAGCCACAAAATTGATTTTTGGATGAATCCACGAAAATTTTGGGCCACGAAAATTTTCCACTGTACGGTATTGAATATAGACCACCCAGAGTGAGAATTGCTTGCATGGGAAGACTATTACGGTTGCAAGGCGTGGTTTACAATGAAATAAATTCCGGACGCCATTTTGGTTGGCAACTTTCAATGGAGAGCAAACGGGACAACATAAAAACAAACCTGTATTAAGAATTCTGGAGCGAATTTGACCAAATCTTTCACAGGATAAGCTTAAAGGTAGCTATTCTTTCTTATAACAAGCACTTTTTAGCTTTTGAAAGAGCTACAGCAGGTAAAGTGAGGTATTTTCTTCGTGCCTCCATTGACTTCCTTAACAAACTTGCCAACCAAAATGGCAGCCAAATGAGCCAATTAGGTATGACGCGTGGGCGGATACCTTATATAAAATTAATGAAA